GAAGGGCTTCCCGGTCCAATTTTGAGCTGAAATTGTTTGTGAATAAACTAGACTTGATGAAGAACATACCATAAATATTTCATAAAAAAATTCGACCAGGAACTTCCCCGAACAGCGGTGTTTGGACGGAGGATCAGGTCCGAACGTTCAGACCAAACCTGATCATTTGTGTGTGTGTGTGTGTAGATAGATAGAGAGAGAGAGTCATTCTCAGGTCCGAACGTTCGGACCTGAAGAGCCATACGAACACCGCCATTCGGGGCGGTTCCCGGTGGAATTTTTCGATAAAATATTTATGGTATGTTCTTAATCAAGTCTAGTTTATCCACAAAACATTTCAGCTCAAAATTCAATCGGAAAGGCCGTCAAATAATTTTTGGAACTTAACTGCGCAAAATTATACATAGAAAAACGTAGTTAACTTCCAAAAATTATTTGACGGTGAATTTTGAGCTTAAATTTTTGTGGATAAGCTAGAGTTGATGAAGAACATACCACAAAAATTTCATCAAAAAATTCTACCGGGAACCCCCCCTTAACGGCGGTGTTCGCACGGCGCCTCGGGTCGAACGTTCGGACCTGAGAATTTTCCTACACACACACACACATTCCAAAAACATACCGGATACTGTCGCTAGGAAATCTAAGCTAAAGTTAGAAACTTATTGGATTCAGTCGGCTATATCTTCTCCTCCGGTGATCAGATAGCTTGGTGCGATCCCGACATTGTCGCTGGATGCGTGCGTGAAGTGGCAGAGGCTGAAAGTGGTGCTTCTGAAACAACTAAAAGTGAATGCATAATGCGCTTATCGATCTTGGGCTCTTGTTCATTCAAAGCATCCAGAAGATCGCCAACGTAGTATAGCAATGTTAGATGCTTCTTTAGGCTCAATAGTGGTCCACAACAAAAGAGGGAAAAGCTTTATCTTTTCAAAAATGTGTAGTGTACACGCCGGGTTACACGCCAGTGTGCACTAAATAACCCCCCCCCCCCCCTCTTTCTAATCAACCCCACTTTTGAATTAATCCGCCCCACTCCCTTCTCCTCCCCTTCCACGTGCGTCTTTTGTTCAAAAAAAAACCCGCAAGCCGCCTATTCCCACTCTCCCACGCGCCTTTCTCTTTCCAGACTCCCCACAACCAGAGAAACCCGCCCCACTCCCCTTCTCCACCCCTTCCACTCCGTGTCGCTTCCTCAATCAAAGACCCTTCTCCGTTTGGCCGTCGAACTTCACACTTACGAAACCTCCGTCTGTCCGGCCATCTAAGGGCTTGATTCCAATAAACTCAAGGAAACCCAACAACCCTCATCATTCTCCGTTCGCTCCGTTCGTAAGTCACCAAATCCCCGTCCGGCCGTCGTTTGCTTCACTCCACTAAACTCAAGGAAATGGTGCGCACTTCATTGACTCAAATGGCACAAAGGTAAACATCTACAAAACGAACTTCATAATGAACTCTTAATACTTTGTAGTTCTTAAATTTTGTTTTGTTTGTGATGTACCTGAGATGTCTGTGCTTCATGAGTTTTTCCCATGATTAATTAGGTTGTATTGGTTGCCTGTTTTATGCTTTTAAAGATGTTTGTATAGTATGTTCTTATATGTGGAGTTCATTTTAGACTTGTCTTATGGTGTACCTGAGATGTGTGTGGCGTTAAGGTGTATGTGTGGGTGTTGTTGAGATGTATGTATGGTTTGTTTGTATATTTTTGTGAACTTCAGACTTGTCTGTATGACATTTGTTGAGATGTCTATGATGTTAAGGTGTATGTCTAACTGAAAAAAATGGTTTGACCTTAGGTTATTGATGTACCTGACATGTCTGTGCTTCATTAGCTTTTTCCATGATTAATTAGGTTGTATTGGTTGCCTGTTTTTTGCTTTTAAAGATGTCTGTATAGTGTGTTCTTATTTGTAGAGTTCATTTTAGACTTGTCTTATGGTGTACCCAAGATGTCCGTGTGGCTTGTGTTTAGATGTCTATATTGTTTGTTCATATATTTATGTGAACTCCCGACGTGTCTGTATGACATTTGTTAAGATGTCTTTACAGTGTGCTGTACATGAATGTTTGTGTGATGTAAATGAGTTGTGTGTGTGACCAGTGTCCATATGAATGTTTTCAGGATGGAACTTCAAATTCCCCTAAAGGATTACTTTCCTGCCCAATACTCCATACGCTCAGCCTTCGATGAGGCTTTGGAGCTGCTGAGCGAATGCTTAACACTCAAGCAGATGACATTGGTATTGAAAACTAGGGCTGGCATTTTGAACCGAAAAACCGAAAACCGAACCGAAAATAACCGAACCGCTTTAGGAAAAACCCGAATCGGACCGAATCGAACGAAATTGGGTCCCAATAATCGGGACCCAAAAAAAATCGGTTCGGGTTCGGTTTATGTGCACAAAATATCGGTTCGGACCGAACCGAACCGACATTTTTATATTAATAATAATAATTGTTATTTATAATAACAATAATAATTAATGACGTTTAATAAAGATAGTACTAAACCGAGCATGATTTGAACATACTTGAAGAGTAGCCGAGGTTGTTAGCCAGCGTTTGTCGTCTCCCGTAGGTCGTGGGTTCGATTCCCGCGGTTGGGAGATAAGTTTTGTTTTTTCAGCTTCTTTTCCTATTCTCTTTAATCTTGTCCCACACCGGAAAATGAGAAGCTTCCTACTCCAAAACTTCAATATAAATAAGGTCCCCTTAGTGTAGAATGCCAAGATATGTCCTTGGAAGCTAAGTTACGTTCTGGGCTTCCATTGGGCTAATTGGGCTCCAATATTGGCAAGTTCCAATGGGCTTTAATCAATTGAATATCAATTCAAATTTATTTATTACAATTTAGTCGGTTTCTTTCGGTTTCCGATAAACCGAACCGAAAAAATCGGGTACCAAAAATCGGGTACCAAAAATCGGTACCCGTTTGTACAACGGTTTGGTTCCGGTTCTGATAATTTGGTAAACTGAATTATTGGTTCGGTTCGGGTATGTACCGAATCGGTTCGGAACCCGAACTGAAACCAGCCTTACTGAAAACCCCCTAGGGCCATTTGTTTAGTTGTCCACACTTTCAATTCTTAGGGCAGCTCATTCATTTGTTGTTGTTGCGCCTTGTGTGTGAGCAGCCTGCGGATGAATTGTGGTTGAGGGGAAGCTGATGAAGTTCACGTACAATGACTTCAAAAGGATTGTTGGTGTGAAAGATCAAGAACAATGGCCCATATATGATCTTGATGAATCACGACATGGCATTGTAGACAAGTACTTTGGTGGTTGCGATGATGTCACCTATCACAAGTTGAAGGCGAAAGTTGCTGAGCCAGGTATGACCCCTCAAGAAGAGAATGAAGATGTTATGGATCGTGTGAAGCTGGCTGCTTTGTTTTTGGTCCACTATTGTCTCCTGGCAAGAGATCCGCCAACTAGAATCCATCCGGATTACCTGTGTTTGGTGGACGAGTTTAAGCTTTTCAAGTTTTGCCCCTGGTCCTACGAGTCCTACAATATAACTGTGACGAGTCTGAAGTAGACCCTGCAAGGGCAGCCATTCAAGTTTCAACAAAGCAAGTTGGCAAATCCTAAGTATCGCAATGCGAAGTTCAGCTTGTATGGCTTCCCCTATGCTCTTCATGTATTGATATTATTGTTTGTATATTTGTTTACTTAGAAGTTACATTGTCTGTATACATGATTAAATCGTCTGTATGATGTCAATTTTTGAGATTCATTGTCTGCATAAGTTGTCTATATTACACCCATGAATGCATGTAAGTTTGGGCGTACGAGGAACTGCTTGTCCTTGCGCAAAAATGTGCCAAACGTGTGGCGGGTAAGAAGGATATTCCAATGCTGAAGTGGACCGCTGATGGCTTTTTTCATGCCCACGTGTTTGAAAAAATTGTGTTTAAAGATGTCGTTGAGGTAATTGTTTGGTTTGCTGTGTGTTCTTTAATTGTCTGGGGTACAAACTTTTAATTATTTACTATATTTATGTGGTAGGAGGATGATGTTGATGATGAGGTTGAGGAAAGCAGTGAGGATGCTGCAGAAGAGGAATTGAGGTTATTGCGTGAACGGGGAGTGGATCTTGAAAGGAGGTTGCAAGCCACTGAAGTTCACCATGCTGAAATGAAAGAGACGAAAGGGAATGAAGATGGAAATCCAGATGAAGACCAAAACAATTTACTGGAGCGAATATTCTTGTTTATGATATTGTAAAACATTGTGTAGGCTGTGCAGGAGGTTAGAGATGAGGTTGTGGAACCCGAAATGATAAATTTTAGGACTTTTATGATATTGTCTGTAATTGTGTTTGAGGTTGTCTGTATAAACGAACACAATGTCTAAAGTGGACTTGTTATACATATTTCAGGCTCGTGAGGAGGAAAGAGATGACGCTACTGCCGGGACAGGTGATGAAGAAGTTGTACTCGGTCCATGTTTTAACGGTGTACATTTCTAACCATTAGACACCGTTTCTCCTTGTTTAAGGATGTGGATTATGAGTGGATTATGCTACTACTGTTTGTAGCTTTTCCCGTTATTGTAATGTATTATGATTTCTTCCTTTTTTTATTATCATACTGAGTATTATGTGTGTTTCTAATTATTGATTGTTGGTATTTCAATTTTACAACATGTGTTTCAATTGATTTAATTTTAATATTCAACAAGTACATATCATATAAAATAAAAAATTAATAGTATAGCAATATAGAAAACGATCAATAGTTTTAAATTTATTTTAAATTGAACTCAAATGGGAATTGTTAATACTTACAAAAAAATTAACTCACATTTTTTATTTTTTCACATTGGAATGTTTGAGCTTTTAAATAATAATTTTTGGTAAAAGTAAAATTATCAATAAGTAATGATTAATGCATGTAATTAAAAAAATATATGTTTTGAATGAATACATTAATAGTGTTGGGTCGCAGAGAAAAACAGAATTAATAGATTTGTAGAAGGAATTTATTGAAGGGTTAGCCTAACGAGCTTCTCCAGTTCTCCCTGTGTGTTCAGATGTCGCCCTACCGCCACAAATCATAACCCGCTAGGCAAGGTCCGGCGCGTCACCACCGGTTCTATAAATTTAAAACACAGATTCACCCACCATCCTCTCATCTCCAATTTCTCCCACCACTTCGCATATACTCACTCTTCTGACTAACCAAATCTTACGTTAGAGTATCCTCTCTGCACCCATCCTGTCTCGCCCATCGTGTTCCTCTCTGGCCGTAGCATGGCGAGACCGTTTTTACAGGAGCAGGTGCTCCCTCTCCTCGCGGCCGCGAACAACCACGGCGATTTGGATGTAAAACATTCGTCTTTGAGGCAGGCTAAAGATTTATTGTTGTCTGCTGACTCGTCGCAGGCTGCCAAGGTTTTCCCCTATTTGATTGACCTCCAGTCTTCCCCGGAAAGCTTGTTGCGGAAATACCTAATTCAGTAAGAAGTATTCCTTCCCGGAAGCTCTAGTTTCCCCTTTGGGGATTTTCTGCTCTCCTGTTTGCGAAGTATTTTAATCGACATTAATTCAAGAAGGCCGTTCATAGTTTGTTTTCTTGGTTTGTATGAATATGCCGTTATAATTTTAAAAATTGATTGGATCATTATTACACATGGGAGTAAAAACAATGCCTCTCGTAATCAATGGGTTGTCTTCTTACAACACTCAGCATGGTAGTAGTCTTGATGCTGTGAAGGAAAGGGAAATAAAAACATGTTTTTCTATACCTGCTTAGAGGGACAATCTTTCATTGATTGCAGATTTGCAGGGAACATTTTGGCTTTGTGAAGGTTTAAACTTTATTCAGAGGCTAGTTATCAGCCTACAATCATTGAACAATTTTTTAATTTATGGTTTATATTTTCCTCTTTGTGACAATCAAATCTTCCATTTATTACTTCATTGTGATTCTCCTTGGCCCCCCATCATCTTTATGATGCCAAATATGAATTACAGGGTGATTGAGGACATTGCCACGAAACCCATGGAACATACATCAATATTAATGCCTGTATTATTTGAATCTTTGAGGGACAGTAGTTCATTGGTTGTTAAGCAAACCATTATTTCTGGAACACACATCTTCTGTGGACTGTTGGAGGAATTGTCAGTGCAGGTCCGCCCTCACTCTTAATTTATGTTCTCCCCCACATTCCTTTACTAGTTTCTTGGTGCAATCTATTGAGTTTTGTAGTCATCAAAGTTTTCCTCCGTTGCCTTGAACTGGAATTATGACTCATAAAAGAAAGAAGGGCAAGGGTAATGACATCTATGGTGGCTGTAATACAGTTCTGAACTATCAAACAAAGTTATATGAAAAAAATATGTGCATATATGAATGAAAAACATGTATGCATATATACAAAAATATTATAAATATATCATTATATTCAATATTTTTATGTTTTCACACGTATCATATCCTATATTTTATACAAATCCTGTTTCTTGCATTTCCCGTTTCACGTTTCTGTGCTACTTAGGTTCTGGTTTTATGGCTCACTTACGTTTTGATACAAATATTTTTCTTGTACTATGCTATGATTCTATGGTGCCAGATTGTATATTTGGTATAGTCGTATAGCTGATACCTTTGGTAATGATTTTTGTAAAAAACAGTATATAGCATGGCACATATTCTTATGCTCATTCTTTTATAATGGTGGGGTCCCGTGGGGATATGACAATACACATGCATTATTGCGCAATCTTTTGTGGTTTAGGGTGATCCTTTAGTTTAGCCGAATCAGGCTTGGTAAATAGCTTGGTTTTAGGTTGCCAGAGGAATCTGGATGTATATGAGCTTCATGGTTCTCTGTAGAGTAGCAAATATTTAAAGGAAAGTGCTTTGCATGAAAGTCATGTGTGGTTAAAATAAGATGTGGAATTACAGGTCTGCTTGTATAACTCAAATGCGTGTGCCTTTCTTATTCTCAGAAGATATGAAGACCCAGTTTAACAAAATTTAATGGAGTATATAATGATTTTTATATTGTAATTGCACCAGGAAACAATTTCATTTGTTGTTCAAAAGAATAATGCCTTTTAATACTATTTGCTGACTTAATTCTTCTTTCACTAATATATATTAATTCACCAACACACACACATATGTATATCAATTTTTTTCTCTATTTTCTAAACAAGCATTACATCCATTCTCACTCTTTCATGTAGTTTCACCGGCGTGGTTTAGTAGAAAGATCACATGGGGAGCTCTGGACATGGATGATCAAGTTCAAGGATGCTGTTTTTTGCGCTCTATTTGAGGCATGTGTGCATTATTTATGTGTCATGCATGGATGAACAAATCATTTTCTCTGCATTCTTCCATGGATTTCATGACTGTCTTAATCAGGCATTTATTTAATTACATTGTATTACTGAATAGTGAATACAATATCACAATCAATTTGACTAAATTTGGAGTAAAGAGTAACCTTACATTTATTTCTACTGACTAGTTATTTCTTAAGAACTGCAAAATATCGATATTTATTTGTTTTCTTTTTCATCACGGTAGCACTGTTTTCACTTACCATCCTCAAAGAAGAAAGAACCAAGCAATTTTAAAAGATCAAAAGATAAGAGGAAGTGTGTATAAAACAAATTCAAAAGATAATTCCCCCATTCAGGCTTTGTGAAATCTCTTTATTAACATAGATCTAGTTATGGAAGAGGATAATTTTTCGTTACAATGTAGATCACAATAATATTATTTGTGCTTGGTGTATCCAACTGACATGGATTGACTTGTTCTTTTAGGCTGTGCCTGTTGGTATAAGATTGCTGGCAATAAAGTTTTTGGAAACATACATTTTACTTTTCACACCAGATGCAACTGATTCTGAGAAGTTTACATCAGAAGGTGTGTGTGTGACCTTGAACTTGAACAATGTCAAAATTTTTATCATATGAACTTCATCCTCTCACCCTCAGGCATTCCCCTGTGGTATTTTTATTTGATGCTTCAGATTTCAGAACCAAGAGAGTATACTGCTCTTCTACTTTGTTCTCCAGAAACCAATGTTCATTTATTTCGTCTTCTTGGGTTGGATGAGAGTATGGCTTTGGAGAGGGCAAAGTGGAGGGCGCACATTCGTGTGGACGATTGATCTCTTTCTTTTTTTCTCCTCTTTTTATCTTTTATCGTTTATCTTCTTTGTCTTTTTATGTTCTTACGTTATTTTTATCTTCTAGCTTTTTAATGCTCTTTTATCTTTTAAGCTTTTATCTTTCTTATATTCTTATGTTGTTATCTTATATTTATTTATCTTTATCTTATTTGTTTTATCCTTTTGTTTCTTCTTGTCTGTCTTCTCTTTTTGGCATCAATATCATGGATCGTTTCATGTTAGCTGACCCCAAAATCTTTTGGGATTAAGGCTTGGATGTTGTTGTTGTTGTTGTAAACCAATGTTCATTTAAATTTAGTTTCCATTTGATTTCTAGCTTTTGACTATTAACCTTTACTATGGTATTCCCTTTGCTTGTAGCTTCAACAAAATTTAGGAAAGCTTTTAATATTTCTTGGATCGTTGGACATCATCCTATTATGGATCCGGCAGCGCTGATGTCTGATGCAAATAGAACTGTTGGCATTCTATTGGATCTTCTGCACTCAGCAAGTACACTTCCTGGTTCGCTGACAATATCTGTTGTTAATAGGTGACCTCAATCTCTTTTTCACCAACCTTTTCTTGAAAGAAATATGTGACATTTGCATATATTGTGTACTTTTCATTTGTTGAGTTTTAATGTGAAGCATACTAGAAATGATCTGAACATAACAATTGTTTGTTACTTCGTTGTGTGAATGAAAGTGGATACATGATTTCAATGTGAAGGGGCTAGAATTGAAAATTAGAAGTTTAGGACTACTTTACTTAAGCAAGATGAAAATAAAAGCTTTTCTAGATAATTGGTGATCACTACATCACATCTTATGTGAGTATATATTGGTGTTATTATAGTAAGTCACTTGCATCATCATCATCATTACCCCAGTGCTGCAAAGGCTCCCACCAACCTTTGGTAGTAAGCCACTTGCATGTTTTCTGAAAATATTATTATTATTATTATTAAATATATCCTTTTGCTCTTTTACCTTTTTCAACACCACGTTCATGTTTTTTATTCTGCTATTCATAAAATAGTATAATGCTTTTTATACCCCCTTCCATCCCTAAGTTAGATTCTCGTTGGCTTTTGACACAACTTTTAAGAAAGTGGAATGGTGTATTTGAGATTCATTTAGTATGAGGAGAAAAGTATGACTCATATAATTCAACTTATAAAGAAAATGGGAACTAATTATGAGGCAAACAAAAAATGAAAGGGAAAAGCTAATTTGAGGATAGATGGAGTAATTTATGTCCTGCTCCGAAAAGTGTGCTCTGCACTGTTCTCCCATTGTGTTAATTGATCTTTATGAGAACTCTTCTCTAATTTTTTTGTTGCAAAAAGACTTATCTTTTTTTGTCCTTGTCAAATGTCAACTTATAACTTCATTGAATGAGAGGCTATCCTAAAAATACACACTTCTGTGATGCTTTTTGCTGTTTTGCGTAACCACCCCAACCACATTAGTTTTAAGCTCATAACTATTTGGGGTCTGCTGCATGAAATTTTTAGTTTCAACTAATTGTATAAAATTAGTTAAAAACTTTTAATCCATGCAAAAGAATACCGTCTGATGTTCTTAGTGTCACAGCCTTCGTATTAAAGCAAAATGTGATGAAGCTTCAAAACTGTCATCATCATAGGTTATATTTCCATTTGCATGAAATGATTATGACATGGCAATGAATTGGGATAGTTGATATAGCTATGTTTAATACAAGACTGATATATTAAAATCAATATATAAATAATTGAACATGACTTCCTAAATTACCCTTTTTCATACTGAATAAATGTTTTAATGTATTTGATCTGACATATAATGATATACTAAAAGAAACAATATACTACGTAAATGTTAGGACGCCATAGTTACTTTCCAGTATCTTGTTCTTAAGGGTGGATTTTCGTTTTTTGCTAGTGAGAAGTAGTTGGTTGCTGTGACGGGCAGTCACGGTTTGAAACATAAACCAACAGTAGGGCATCGTTCTAGCCAAGGTTGTTGGAAGACTGGGATTTACATTCCACTATTTTTTGGCATTACCTGAGCTGTCATATTTAAGTTTTTTATTTTATGTATTTTTTTCTCAACCAAGGGTGCGTTCATGCTATCCATCATGTACTACTGTTGCTTGGTATTGGGATTGCATTTTGACATTCTCAATATCTTTCTGTGGATGCTTCTAAAATGCTACTCCCTCCGTCCCGTTAAGATTGTCCCATCTTTCCTTTCGGTCCGTCCTACTAAGATTGTCTCATACCAAATTTGGTAAAATTTGTGTGGTTCTAAATCATTCTCACTTTATTCTTACTTTATCAGTTCAATATCAACCAAATAACTTTACTTTTCTTAATAGGCGTGTCACTTCCTCATCTCCCATTGTTAGTGGTACGGAGGTAGTATTATACTTTTGGTTTGGATTTTTTTTAAAATTCCAACCCATCTCAATAATGCTGAACCTGAAACTGTGATGCTATAAAACTCTCAAACTGCATCTTATTGAATAGTGGTTAGGTATGTTGATATCTGGATATATGTTGGATTAAAAAATAGATACGTTGAGTCGTTGATAGTGATTTTTTATCTAGAATTCAAATGTATAACTTCATATTGTTTTTAACACAGTTCAGTTTTAGCTGAATTATATGGAGATTATCGTACATACGAATAGGGGATGTTTATTCTTCTACTTTTTCTCCATCCCTCTCTCTTTCTTAATCTATTTATTGCTCGTAGATAGAAAAATATATTGCTGGTTATGACATCAATGCATATATGGGGGCGGCGTTCGTATTTCTCTACTGCGCATCATAATAAGTTTTATCATTTTTTGAGATCATGGAGGGAATAATGAAGCTTGGAACTGGTCTGAACAAGCTCGACAGCTTGATCGTGCTTTTATTGCAGCATGAAGTTGGCATTTTAAAGTGGAGTTAAATAGGGCTTTGCTCCAGCTGCTGAGTTGGCTGCTCGGATATCAGGGGAAAGCTGATGCCATTGGCTTTGATTGGTTGTATGATCTTTTGGCGACTTGCTTAAAAACTGGTTCAACAAGGAATTTAACCACATTGTATAGTATTGAATAGAAACACTTAATTATGACATTTTAGCATCTGACACAGCAATAACTTTACAATTCTTTTTGATGTATCTCATAAAATGTATTGCTAATTTGTAAAACTGCTATGCTTGCTATTACTTAATCGAAATCTTGAGATTTTTCCTTGGCACCATATGACATGCTCTGCAAAATATCTGCTGTTGCTTATTGTTGCCAAACTCTATCTTTTTTTTCTTTCTCGGCTATGCTGCATTGCTATTTGTGGTAAGATTGGGCTTCAAATACTTTTGAAATGACTTGTTGACCTCTTTTTACAAATGCTGACACTCATACAGAAAGACGATGATTGGGACATCTTTCACTATTATATTGTTGACATGCATCTTGTTTGGGGGGGGGGGGTGCTTTGGAAGGGAGCCAAACATCAATAAGTCAGTTGCCATCTATTGGCCCTTCATTAAAACCCTCATGTACTGTGATGCCACTATCTTCTCTTGGGTTCTGTGACCTCTTCATACAAGTTGATATTATCAGAATGGTTCAAGAAACTTTGTGATGTATCTCTTCATCAAGCATGTTTCATGATTCGGATAAAAGGACTTGAACAAATCCATTCCACAAGAATTTTCCCGGTGTATAAAACGAAGCGTGAAGTAATTAATTTAGTTTTCTGATAAAATACATGGGCTAATTTGAAAAAAAAAACAATCAAATGAAATGGAATATGATGTGACATACCACAAACATTACCTGCAGCAGTATGGAGTTTGAGTTCATGCATGTGATTCATCTACTTTAGCAGGATTGTGTACTGAGTTTTTGGGAAATGTTTGCTCACAGTTTATGAAGTTTGTTACTTTATTCAGTAAGGGTATTGGATTACCTGGGAATGAAGTATGCAACCTTAAATAGTGTAAGAGTCATTCATCCACACAATGACACTTAAAATGGATAAACAGCTCAACAATATGAGACAAATTGCAAGGACATAGCTCAGGGGAAAGCCAGTTTTAGAATGGCGACGCTCTTTCTGGTTATAGTTGGTAATTCCATGACAGCAGATGATTAGCTGTCGGTAGAAGGATTTTGTGCAATTCTTTAATTATCAATGCTCACTCCAACTTCCTGCGGAGTCCACTGGGGCAATTGGAGTGTCTTGGATTTGCGTTAATTCAACCCAAAAGAAAAGGAAGAATTAGAATGGATATAGTTGTCATGCTTTTCGGTAATTTTTTGGAAGCAATAATGTCCACAATTTCGTAACTTAGCAACATTCGTTTCTATTTACTTACCTGTCTGATACCTTCTTGCTCACCTCTGTCGAGGCAATATAGTGACAAACTGGCTTTAAAGTGTCTATATCCAAGTCAGGTGAAGAAGTAGAGGAGTAGTTAGAGTACCAATAATAACTTGTGTTTGTTCTACTATGAGCGAGAAGTCACTAGTTTTTCACATTGGAAGACATTTTAGGATGGTAATTAGGAGTTCCACATGTTAATCATACTCAAATCTTAGAGGAAGATTATATTGTAACAGGATTGGGTGGGTAAACATTCAGATCTGTATAGTGTGGCTTCTACTTCTGTGTAATACTTGCATGATTTTTATTTTGAAACTTGTAGGATTTAATTATGCTTCTATTCAATATTGATAACTTAGCTTATTTCAATTACAGATGTAGTGCAAGCCATGTAATTTCTGTAAATTATTTGTACCAGTCAATTACAGTGCTTCTTGTTTGGTTCTTTTGCTTCTTTAAATCATTAGGCTTATACTTCCTAAATGTTGATGTAAGGATGTTTGGATGCACATCTCATTTATCTTCAGCTTTGAATGCAGTGGTTTTCTACACATTGTATCTTTTTACAGTTTCATGTATTTGCATTTCTCCATAAGAACACAAATCTTCTCTTTTCTGGGATTAAAATGATTACGTTAGATCTTTAGTGTTGTCTCTCGGCTAAATATGATTGGGGGCCATCTGTCCCTAGCCAAGTTTACGGTCTAGAGGGATATTGTTCACCCTTTTAATTCTATGGTGGCTGAAAACCCGAAATATATGTTGTTTAGATTGTGAGTTCTTATTCCGCTAACAGTGTAAAAGTATTGTCGTGGTTGTGATTTGTGAGCATTATTCATATTCCCCCTGTTGCTATAAAAGTGTTGTCCTGGTTGTGACTTGTGAGCATTAATTGTATGCCGTGCAATGCTCTATCCCTTTAGTGCTAGTTTGTGTAAGACATTAAGGTGTTCATTTGAGTGAATAGAGGGGATTGGTGGCTGTGATTTGGTAACTTTCTACCAGCAATACAAATGGTAGGTCAAGCTCATCATTATAATTCATTATGTTTAGGTAATAGACTGCTAGGTTGTCGAGTATGGTGGAAGGGTGTGCTATATAGCCTTAGACAGATCACAGACGAGCCCCTTATGGTTCTAGCAGCTGTTTTGACAGCAACGAGCTGCCATTATCTTTTGAAGCTGAAGGTATTACTTCAAATGGAAGTTCATGCAAATGAAGAATAGTAGTTTCATGTGGGCCACACATAGAAATAGAGTACAAACAATGTTTTTAATGATGGTCTTTCTTTTGTGCATTAGTTTAAGTGCTTTTGCAATCCATGGGGTCTACACTCCATTACCCATTTTCGCTTGAGATAGCAAGGCCACTTGAAGCTGAAAGCTGCAAAGTATTTAAGTAACCTAGGCGTTTACTCGCCTTTTCTTGTCTAAGTGCTCATTGTTTGCATTGGCTGTTTTTGGAATGACAGCCTCATTTTTAATTTACTCTACCATGGAAGTGTTTATTTTGTCAGTATGATAGCCTTATATTAAGGCATTTATGCTTTAGTGTTGAGCCTTCTTTCCAATACATCACAGTATCACGTGGCGCTTAATTTTATATTATTCTTGAGATATCACTATTTCTATATGCCCTTTATTTATCTTTAAAAAGTGATTCTAATTGTTAATCTTTATCTGCAGCCTTGCTACTATAGCAAAGAAGAGGCCTGCTCACTACAACTTCATTCTTTCAGCATTGCTGGATTTCAATCCCAACTTTGAGATGACAAAAGGAGGTCATACTGCCAGCATTCAGTATTCTCTACGGACAGCCTTTTTAGGATTTCTGAGATGTACCCATCCTGCTATCCTAGAGGTATTATTATGCACTAACCGTCACAGTTCAAATGTTGCCAAAAATATGCTGAAAAGTATGCTTCTATTAGCACATTTTTTGCGTAGTTAGGGTTACAAATTGGATGTAGTTGTCAGTTTCCTTTTGGATATTGTTGAGAAATGGCCTTTCTCTCCTGTTAGTGCTGCTTTTCTCTACAGCATTCGAAAACTTCACTTCACTCTACTCCAATTACATTCGGGAATCGGGACAATGTTTCCATCCTATGTGTTGTTAAGTCTTTTTTTATTGATAAACTAAGAAAATTGCTTTATTAAGGAATGGTTATTTTTGAATTAATTGTTTGATGTAAAATCATGTATGCTTCTGTAGAGGACATCATTTTGTTTTTTTTGGTTTTATTTTTATTTTTCTTTTGAACTCTATAAAGGAGTAAAGGACATCATTTTTTTACTTCAAAAGTTCTTGATTCATTGATGTTGCCTATGGTAATAAGTACATCTGGCGGGGTTTTAGGTTGTATTTTATTGCATCACAAGATAACACTATTCTCAAATGAATAAATGATTAAATATTGGAATGTGAGTTTTACTCTACCCTAGAAAAGTTGCAAATGTAGTTTGTAGAAAGGCTTTACTAAGCGTTGTTGAGATTGGTTTGTGAATTCGATGCATTATAAGTTGAGTTGTTATCAACTAGTTCCTCAACCAGCACTGGCTAGCCTTGATTAATAGAGGCCATTTCGTTTCTATCCATGTTCTTCAATGAAAAACTCTAAATTGTACTTGAAAAGACCGTCTCTTTTCACAAGTATCCATGAACATATTACAACCTTTACTGTGTGCTTCACAACTTTTTAGGGGCTTAATGTAAATTGCTTAGGATTCAGGAATGTGTTAGTACAATTTGGTATTCTACCTCTGAGTGATTTTACAAGTCTCCTACTACTGATGGGTCAAACCTATTTCTTTTTTTGGTTAATTTTGTTAACTGTTTCTTATAATTTTCCATTTTGTGTATGTTCAGCAGAACTTTTGGTGTGTTTCCTCAAGTACATAAGTTTCACTGTGTTGATTTCACACACTGATTTGAACTATTTTAAATATTTCAAAAAATCAAAATGTAAATAGCTTAATGCAAACTTCACTAAACCGGTGGGCCTTATGTTTTATGTGGGAGGATGGAGAGAGGAGATGTTTCTCAAAATCTATTGTCTCACTTGTTCATATATTCGATTACAAAGGGATCAGTGGGTTTATGGACTATGGTGACTTATTTTCCTTCTGATTGTAGTCTAGAGAGAGACTGCACAAGGCTTTGCGAGCAATGAATGCTGGGGATGCAGCTGATCAAGTTCTTCGTCAACTGGATAAAGTTATGAGAAACAATGACCGTGCTTCACGTGAGGCTCGAATAAGCAAGGTAATTTGTTTCAGAATAGGTCAAATTTCTCAGCTTTCTGTACTGCTTTGGATCCTAAAATTATCAACCCTGATGTGAAGTTCTCTTACTGATATCCAAGACACTCAAACTTTAGTGTCTTTATTTCAGGATGATCGGCCATCAAATCATTTGCCTATTTCAGGCGATGCAACAAGGAAAAGAGAAACCCCTTCAGATCATGAGAATTCAAATGTTAATTACGACTCAGCTGCAAAAAGGGTTCGTTATGGGCTTAACAATAATGTAGTTCCACCTGCTGAAAGAAACGATTCTGGAAAGGATTGTGTCAACGGAGTTCCTCATAAAGTTATTGTAGCAGTTAATGCCCCTAGCCTTGTTGATCAAATGATCTCGATGATAGCTGCATTAATATCAGAAGGAGAAAGAGGTGTTGAATCCCTTGAAATTCTCATAGCCAAAATCCCACCAGATGTGATGGCTGATATAGTCATAACTAACATGAAGCACTTGCCTATAAACCCCCCTTCATCAACTAAGTTTGATACACTGCCATTAACTCGGCAAGCTGATTTTGGTAGTACTCTATCGAACAGTGTAGAACCTATAGGTTCCTCAGTTTCCAAACAAACTGGAACTCTCCCGTCTCAATTACCTGCCACTGTGTCAAGTGCGGTTAGCTCATCAATAACAGAAATGTCCACTTCACTATTTTCTGATTCTAAACGTGATCCTCGAAGGGTAAGCTAGATTTGAATTATTATTGGATACCTTACAGTAATTTTCTTTCCTCACATTCCTCTAGTGTTACCATCAATTTGTTCTCCTTCGCTGACAACATATTCAGTCACTCAGTCTGTTTCTTGCTTTTTAATGCACATTTCTTTCCAGGATCCTCGACGTCTTGACCCAAGACGTGTCACTACGGGAAGTGGAGTGCTGCCAATACCCATCACTGAAGATAATTTGAATCCAATGCCATCTGTGGTGGTTAAATCTGAAGTCGATGCCTCTAGTCCCTTTAATGGTTCTCCTATGCCACCTGTCTTTCCTCAGTTGAAAAATATAGCAATGTCTCAAAATCTAAAACATGAATGGGGCAACACTCTGGAGAGTTCTGAGGCTGCATCGGCTGACTGGTCAGCTCCAAAAGAGGAAATACAGGTTGAAGAAGCTGACAATAGCATTCTTGACTCTGATGAAAATGCTACTGAGGTATTCTCTTCTGCTGGCAAATTAGAGCAGCAATTGATCACACAAGAGCCATGTAATGTTCCAATGCAAGATGAGGTCTACTCACCATCTTCAGTAGAAACGGAGCAACTATCTCCACCCATTTCAAACACAATATCCTCTGAAGATATGTCTGACTGCATCCCTTCAGTTCCACCATACATTGAGCTGACAGAAGAGCAGCAGAGAGGTGTGGGAAAATTGGCAATCGAACAATTAATTAACGCATACAAGAGGCTAAGAGGGGAAGATAGCAAACAAACAGGCATAACAATGCTTTCTCGTTTAATTGCCCAGGTAAAGTCACCTTTTTGCTTCTTGTCTGTGATTGTGGTTTAACCAACTTCTTTCTCTTATATGAATCACTTGTCACTACATAAAAGTTCAGGAACTTTGGTATGTTTCCATACGGGTCCATGTGTAAGTTCTCCTTTGTGGACTTCTGTACTTCACAGATTGTTAAGGATATATATTGTGTAACTGTTCTTAGGTAAAACACACCATTCACCAATTTGTTGTGCATTTTTTGTGTGGAGGGTGGGGGGATAAGTAAGTTCATTATTCAAAACGTTAGAATTGTAGTACAAAGAAGACTTCAAACAGGCCCTCAACATTTGGGAATAGTGAGAGTTCAAGAGGTTAACGCATCATTCAAAAATATGAGATGCATTATATTCCAAATCTACAGCAGCATCCCACTAAGGATGAAACCTTTTGTCCAAGTGAGATTGCAAACTTTTGGAAGTCCTTATAATTGTGTTCTTCATGAAGCTCACACTCATTAGCAAGGCATTTGTCTTTCTGTCCTAGTATATTAGGAGTCTGGTAATCATGAAAATCCAATCCTCCAAGTAACCAAATTAGAGCCAAACTATTTATTGCACTTGGGTTTTAGAGCTTTGGTAGAATGCAATTCAGTCTCTGAGAGCAGTAATAAACTGTCTTTCCATAAGCACAAAGGACTTCTATGATCTTTTATTGCTCTTTTGGTTGCAAGAACCTCTGACCTTTTTTGTGAAGCATACACATAAAGGTGCAAGGACAATGCACTTTTAACTGTTTTTTTGGCTTTTGTCCTCCAAAGATAGTTTGATATAAGTATATAACATTGATTGGTTTTACTCAGATGAATACTGATGCTGATGTAGCTGTCATGATGCAAACACATATTCTCTCAGACTATCAAGAACAAAAGGTATTTTTGCCAATACCTAATTAGTGTTTAGGGCTTTAGAAGTTGTCTGCATACCTTGCTTTATTCCGAACCTTATCTGTAATTACTTGATTGTTTTCTTGGTATAAATTCAATGCCAGGGACATGAAGTCGTGATACACGTCCTTTACCATTTGCACACTCTAATGTTGTCAGATCCAGACCAAAGCTCTTCATATGCTGCTTCAGTGTATGATAAAGTCCTCCTAGGAGTGGTAAGATCAATTCTTAGTGTGGTGCATTCCTGATCGGTTCCCTATCTGCTTATGTCCAATCTCCTTTTTGCAGGCAAAATCATTATTAGATACTTTGCCGGCAACTGACAAGTCATTTGGCCGACTTCTCAGTGAAGTTCCTTATTTGCCTGATTCTGTGATGCGGTTACTAGCTGACTTGTGCTCCGAGAGATATTTGGGAAAGGATGTCCGTGATGGTGATCGTGTCACACAGGGTCTTGGTGCTGTGTGGGCCTTGATTTTGGGACGACCACCCAATCGTTTAGCGTGCTTAGATATTGCTTTGAAGGTGTGGTGACCATTTGAGTTCCATATTGGTTTTAATAAAGAGATTTTTCCTAAAATATTACTAATAGAAAATATATGGACAGCAATGTGACTAAGTTATCATGGGTATACTTTTATAGTCACTATGATGTAAAATTTGAACACAATTATAGCCACTAATAGTTACTAAGTCACTTTTATGTCCACCTTCCTTATTTTGGTCATATGTTAGATTGGTGCTGTGTGGAGCTTGATTTTGGGACAACCACCCAATCGTTAAGCGTGCTTAGATATTGTTTTGAAGGTGTGGTGACCATTTGATTTCCATATTGGTTTTAATAAAGAGATTTTTCCTAAAATATTACTAACAGAAAATATATGGACAACAATGTGACTAAGTTATTATGGGTATACTTTTATAGTCACTATGATGTAAAATTTGAACACAATTATAGCCACTAAAAGTTACCAAGTCACTTTTATGTCCATTTTCCTTATTTTGGTCATATGTTAGAATTTTTTCTCTTTAAACATTATTGCCGTTGAACTCAGTTTGTTACTTTATATTGCATCTTGTGCTAGAGGCCAAAATCCTATAAAATTGTTATAATTAAAGCTTTCAAAATGAGCCCAACCCCGATAAGCTGAGGGGTGTATTTGTTCTTTGCTGTATAGTTTGAGGGTATATGCATTCCTTCTCCCTATTCAGATCATCATCATCATCAGCATTACCCCAGTGCCGCAAAGGCTCCCACCTACGGTGGGGTAAGGGGGGTCGGATGTACGCAGTCTTACCCCTGCACTAAAGCACAAAGAGACTGTTTCCAGATGACTCATAGTGAAATTCGCGTCGAAAATTGCATGGACTGACTCTTGTTTCATAACAAAGAAGCACAGACAGTTTAGTGAACCATTTTGCTTTATTCCATCACATTCCCAAGCCAAAAAATAGTGAGCCTTTGGCTCCATTGCAAATGATGGAAACTTCTCCCTATTCAGATCTGATATTTATTTATTTAGGCATTAGGCATTTTAGCAATTAACAACTACTCAAGTAGCAACTCTAAATTAAGGGGGGTGTTTGGAATTGATTCTGATTCTGCTTCTTTTTTAAAGCAGAAGCAGAATCAGAATCAGTTTTCAGAAGCTGGTCACCCCCAACTTCTAAAAAAACTGATTCTAGGATTAAATTAGAGCACCAGAAGTGCACTTTTACCCAAACACTCCAACTTCTACTTCTGCTCCTTGAAGGAGCAGAAGAAGTTTTGAGAATCAAATCCAAACACCCCCTAAGTCTTGCACTAATGCTCATGTTTACTATTGCTGCCAAATGAGATGTTGCAAAATAATAATGAGGACGACTGCTGTTATAATACTGTTATTATGTATAAGTTGGACATATATTTAGTTGTATTTTAGACACATACTATTGTTCAGACAATCAGACATGTGGGTTGGTGGTGTATAAGTTCTGGAGTGAAAAATTTCTTTAGTTATGAGTTAATGGAGAGCCACATCAAAAGAGGGCATGTGTATGTAACATGCAATCAATGATGTACCAGCAAACTGATAAAAAAAAGAGACGGTCAGAGACCACACATGCATATTTTTTAGACATTTTGCCATTTTGGTTTTACTAATGAATTATTCACATGACAGTGTGCTGTCCATTCGAAGGAAGATGTTCGTGCTAAAGCTATTCGCCTGGTATTCATACTCTTCACTTTGCTTTCAACACAATACAGATAACTGTTATGGTTGAGAAACAACTGATCTAATTGCTGTTTGCCCATTTGTTGAACTTGTTCCTTCATCTTTTCTGTAGGTCACTAACAAACTCTATGTGCTAAGCCACATCTCAGAAAATATTGAACAATTTGCAACAACTACGTTCTTGTCTGCTATAGATCACCGTGTCTCAGGTGAAAATTCCAAATCTGGAGCCAGTGACCAAATAAAAGAGGTGGAGCTCTGTCTAGTATCTATTTTTGGCTTGATATTTTTTCAATTTATGCCTTTAAGTCTTGGGTTCAAGTCTTGGGAGCGGTCTCTTGTCAAAATGACAAGGGAAGTCTTGCTCCTTATACACCCTTGTGGTGAGACCCTTCCTCAGACCCTCGCCTTGCGGGGACACTAATCTGCACCGGGCTGCCCTTTTTTGGGTTCCTACTAATGGTTTGCCTTCCAAAATATCAACATCAAGGTCATCCTTAACCCTAAGCTGTTTCACGATCATCATGACTGACAAGCTACTCATCAGATAGTTTGCTTCTTTTCATTTTCTATTAGGATTTATAAAGTATGTATGTACTGACTTTTACTCCATGAGCCTAATCACTTACCATCTCGTAACCAAAAGAAAAATAGTATCCCGCCTCAAAAACTGCCTCGACTGTTTGGGATGTAAGCCTCTTGTTGTGAAAGAAGGGAACAAGTAATACTAATACCAATTCTGAATGCCTCTCAATTCATGCCTCTTAAGCACCTTTAACATAGTCAGCAGACAATTGGAAGGGGACTTCCCCATTTTGTTATTACCGTAACTTTACTCGAGGAAAATCACCTTTCAGGTTGGAAGCCAAGAGACATGTGTTAGTGGCTCTCCGAATTCTGATACCGGAATTCCTGAAATCGATTCTTCAAAAGGTGCTCAATTTGATTCCCAAAGTGATTCTGCATTGACCCATGCTCAGGCACAGCGTCTAGTTTCATTGTTTTTCACTTTATGCACTAAGGTATGGTATATTTTGACATGTAGTTTCTTTTGTTCATGATTTAGATTTACATATTCATGACTATGATTGTATTTACCTGTAGAAACCTAGTCTTCTTCAACTTCTATTTAATAACTATGGAAGAGCTCCGAAGGCTGTTAAGCAGGTTTGTGTGCTACTTGCATTTGTTTGTATACTGTTATAATGTCACTAGCTGCATTAGATCGTTGTTCAAGTTGGTAACTTCGGCTACCAGCATCAGTTATGCATCCATTGAGCCACCTAGTGAAACAGTTTATAGCAGCCACTTGAATTTAGACTTAATTGAAAGTCCTAAATTATCAACCTATATGGTGAGTTTGGACTTGAACAATTTTGAACACTGGTATTTACTTGCGGATGTAATGACACTGAAGTGAAGCTCAGGACGGTTGGGATTTTCTGCTGATCTAAATCCTTAATTGCCTTACTTTATGCAGGCCATTCATCGCCATATACCTATTCTTATCAGAGCAGTAGGTTCTTCAAGCCCTGAACTGCTTCATATAATATCGGATCCACCACAAGGATGTGAAAACCTGCTGACTCAGGTACTTCACCTTTTCAACCTCACCTGAAGCGCGAATATATATATATATATATATGGAAAACTCGTCTCTCGAACCTTCTGGAGCTGACAGTTTCTTTTTTAATCTACTGTTAGGTGATACAATTATTGTCTGAGGGGACAACACCTCCGCCAGATCTGATTGCAGTTGTTAAGCATCTATACGAAACTAAACTAAAGGTCTATTGATGAACTGCTGAATTTTAATTATTGCTGTACTGAAACACAAATATAGTTTGTTGTTTTTTATGCCTTCATATGTCTATTCTTTTTCAGGATGCATCTATTCTTATTCCGATGCTTTCGTCTTTTTCTAAAACTGAGGTATTCTTTGTTAATGTCATATTCTAATGATCAATTATGACATTACTTTCATATCCATCTGACATAATACATAAATGTTCTGAAGCCATACATTAATATTCTTCTGTTCAAAAATATGTAATCAATTATAAATCAGTGACCCCTTGCTAAAAAATATATGTGCTGTCTATTTTACTTTCTGATGAGTATCTTTCTATGCACAGAACTTTTAGCATTAATCTTATTGTAAGTAGTTTTCACTTTTTTATACATGCAATGTTTCATCACTGTAATCACCACAGGGTATTAGTTTTTGGCTACCTCACCAGGGGCTATTCACATATGTTTGAACTTGCTCAAAAGGCTATTTTTATCATACTTGACTATGTATTTTTGTTCATGTAGTTTCAATCTAGCTACTTTATGTTATTTATGCTGATGTGTTGCAGTTTGCAATTCCTTAATCTCTTGTCTTACAATTTAATAAATATTATTATAAACTACTCTTTTAAGTACTTTGCATTTATGTGAGTGTATGATATTAGGTTTGATGAATATATTTACACGCTTGAATGACTTTAAGAGATCGAAGTATTTATTTTTTCCTGATAAGGAGTGCCTTTTTAAAATGTGTTATCAGGTTCTTCCCATCTTTCCTCGCCTTGTCTCTCTTCCTCTGGACAAGTTTCAGATTGCAATGGCTCGTATATTGCAGGTATTTGTGAAATGCTATGACTACTTTGGCCTCTTTCTTTTTTGGCTTCTATTTTTTCCCCTTTAATTATATCTTTTCTAGCCACGTTATAACCACCATCTCAATTCATTATTCTGTCACTATTTTTTCACTGAAGGAAAAACTCATGATAAATATAACTCTTTTGGAATTGTTTCAATATGATGCATCATAAAACTCTGAAAGGTGAAAGCTGCAACAGGAATGGCAGCTAATGTAAAAGTTGCCCACTGCTTTGTTATAGTGCTTAATTAAATCAGGACAATTGATTAATATTTGGAATTTCATAAAACCTACACCAATATAGTTGGGATTAAGTTGACACTGATGATGATGACAGACTATGGCCCAGTTCAGATAAACATCTTTAAAAAGAACTTTTATGTCAAGTTGTTCATGCAAATTTGAATTCTGAAGAGCTGTTATTCAGTGTGCTCTTATTAGCGTATTAAATGAAATTAGCCCGTGGAAGTGAATAGCTCTCCAATTGCAGTAAAATCTGCTTATAATCTTGTAGAAGATGATAAGTCTGAATAAGTTTAATATTAAGGTCTTCCATGTTGGCATTAATGTAACATGCTACAACGCATTTCATCCGTGCAGTGTTATCCTACAACAACAACAACAACGACATCCAAGCCTTAATCCCAAAAGAATTTGGGGTAGGCTAACATGAATCGATCTATGATATCGATGCCAAACAGAGAAGACAAACAAAAAGGGAAGAAGAAAAAAAAGAAGTAAGATAAAACGGATAAAATAAAGATAAATAAATATAAGATAACAATAACATAAGAATATAAGAAAGATAAAAGATAAAAAGATAAGAGCACAAAAAAGCTGGCAAATAAAAATAACATAAGAATATAAAAAGATTCCCCCACCATCCTGTCGGGTCGGGGTGGGGGGGCCCTTGGGGTTGGGGATTCAACCTTTTGGACGTAGAATATAAAAAGATAAAGAAGATAAACAATAAAAGAAAAAAGAGAGGAAAGGTGGAAAACACATCAATCGTCCACACGAAGGTGCGTCCTCCACTTTGCTCTCTCCAAATCCATACTCTCATCCAACCCAAGAAGACGCATATCAGTTCTGATTCCTCTAATCCAAGTTATTTGAGTCTTCCCCTCCCTCTCTTCCCTGCTTCATCTTCCCACCCCTCAAGTCGTCTTACATGTGCATCACTCGATCTTCTACGCACATGCCCAAACCACCGCAAACGAGACTCCTGCATCTTATCTTCTATAGGTGTTACTCCAACCTTTTGTCTGATTATCTCATTTCTCAAGCGGTCTTTTCTGGTATGTCCACACATCCAACGCAACATGCGCATCTCTACCACACTCATCTTTTGGATGTGACATTGTTTCACCGCCCAACACTCTACGCCATACATTAATGCAGGCCTAATTGTTGTTCGATAAAATTTACCTTTCAGTCTAGTTCTATTTCATAGAAATCTTGATGCACTCTTCCATTTCATCCACCCAGCTCTGATTCTATGGCATACATCTCCATCTAATTCACCATCCTTCTGAATTATGGAGTCCAAATAACGGAACATAGCACACACCGGTAATTCACCGTGCAAAGTTATCCTAATTAAATTAAATCCCTTCTTCTGATTTCCATGATAACTCATTGACCTAAATGATTTTTTTGCTATTGTTATATTGTATTATACTACGTACTATTGTTTTGATATGTGAACCCCCATGATTAATCCAGCCTGTTTTATTGCAGGGTTCTGCTCATACAGATCCAGCCTTGAGCCCAGCGGAGGTTTTGGTTGCCATCCATGACATTAATCCTGAGAGAGATGGGTTACCATTAAAAAAGGTATCTCTTTGATTACGGTGTACTCCTACAACTTTCCACTATTTTAGGACACCTGTGTGTCTCTCATGCTACTCCGAAGATGTTACTAAAAAAAGTTTTAGCTTCAAAACTTTCTTGAGCAACTATTCAGCGTGCTTTCGAAAATATCTGTAATATAAATATTACTAGTGCTTAGTAATAATGTTTAGTACTAATGCTTGGTACTTGCTATATTTAGATAACGGATGCTTGTTCAGCTTGCTTTGAGCAACGCACAGTGTTCACACAACAAGTCTTGACAATTGCCTTGAACCGGATGGTACAGAAAAGTTTGCCAGTACTTAAGGAAAAGTGATAATCAGATCACCTGGATTATTTGTTCACAGGAAAGTGTTCGTTTTGCAGGTTGATCAAACTCCTCTTCCACTGCTCTTCATGAGAACTGTGATCCAGGCAATCGATGCTTTTCCTACATTGGTAAGTGCAGCTCATGCATTCGTAAGCTGATTCTTATCTGAAGTGTTGCATCAATGTGCATAATCTTTCTATGTACACTTAATTCTCAAGGGAAGATGTGTTTTATTTTTTTCACACATAAGACTCGATTCACTCTATGGGTCATCCGGAAACAAGTCTCTCTGGGGGGTAAGAATGCGTACATCCGACCCCCCTTACTCCACCGTAGGTGGGAGCCTTGGCGGGACGGGTAATGATGATGATAAAACTCGATTCACTGTCTCACTATGGGTGATACGGAAACAGTCTCCCTGTGCTTTAGTACAGGAGTAAGACTGCGTACATCCGATTATGATGATGATGATGAATGATGATGAAAACATGATTCACTGTCCTGTATTTAGACTGCACTAGATTGGACTACTGGGCGCTGCTTTTTGCTCGCCCCAAAACCTAACGGAGGGAAATTTTATGAGGTCATCGTCAGGTTTGTGAGACATGTCTATGGAAAGTAATTTTGAGAAATACCACAACCTGGGGTTACCTGAGGAGATTTCTAAAAAAAACATCAGTAGAATAGCTACTGGTATCACAAATTATGGGCTTCTCCTTGCAACTTTTCAGTAGAAAGCCTATCCTAATAGCCCAGCTTTATTTTTATCTATCTATCCGTCCGTCCATCCATCCATCCATCCATCCATTCGTCTGTCCATTGGTTTGGTTGTTGTGTGTTGCACTGTTTCCTAGACACTGTAAATCTGTGCTTGCCTGATATCCAGGCCAACTTCTTCATATGTCACTAACTATGTTTCTAATTTGCTTCACATTCAGGTCGATGTTGTCATGGAATTACTATCGAAACTTGTAAGCAGACAGGTAACACTTTCTGAAACTGGGTATAGCTAACCTCTTTTCTGAGAGAATTCATTAGCTTGCTTCTAAGAAGTGATGTCATTTACTTTTTTGACTAGTAAATGACTCTATTTGACATTTCATTTTACTCATAGGTGTGGAAAATGCCCAAGTTATGGGTTGGGTTTTTGAAATGTGTCTCACAAACACAGCCACACTCCTTCCGTGTATTGTTACAGGTATACCAGTTTGCTTTTGGTAAATGTATATTGTCTTGTGTTGATATTTCTTTCGAGTCTATTAGTTCATATATCCTTCTGCTTGCAGTTGCCTCCCACACCGCTTGAAAGTGCTTTAAATAAATATGCGAGTCTTCGAGGACCTTTGTCTGCATTTGCTAACCAGTCAAACATTAAAAACTCGTTACCCAGGTACATCTCTAAATGTTTTCTGTAAATGTTTTCTCTAGATATACACATGTCCGTAATCAGAAAAGGGGTGATGACCATTATTTAGAGCCCATTTGGGGAGCGTAGCGGAATTTGATTGAATTGGTGAAATTTTTGCAAATGTTGTATGAAATAACTGAATTATTTAAAAATTAAAATAAATATGTACTCCAAGTGCCATTTCAACCAATTTCAATTTAAAATCATTTTGAACTGATTCAGCTGATGCAGTCAAATAGGTCTGTGTCAGTTCAAATTCTCTGTCCCATTTCCTTCCCCACCGAGGTATTAAGACTACTTAGATTACCTTCCTAGATGGTCCACCTAGGATGACGACCTTAAAAGAGGAGTTGTTCAAGATCTTATACATGAGTTTGTATCTATCTTATATATGATTTTGTATCTTTGTATTTGGACGGTGTTGGAAACCTTTATTTGGCCTGCGATTTGGTGGCTCTTTGGACTAATTAAATTTTAATTTTGTGTGCTCTTTTGAGTCTTAGTTGGACCAAGTTGCTCGTTTGAGCGTAAGTAGCTATGATACTATACTAAGATTTGAGTTTCTATTCTAAAAGTCAACCTTATGGGAGGAATACTCCAAAAGCATAGTTTGTCTTATTGTATTTGGCCAGTGTAGTACGACTTTGCAATGGGTACACCACATGAACACCAACGTATAGTGGGCAGGGCCATCCTGTTTTCAAGGTTTAGGGGCGAAATTTTAATTTCACTATAAAGTCATACTTAGTGTGAAGAAAGCAACGAAATTCCCCATCAAAAATAAAAAACTGAAAACTTTTTGTAAAACATTGTGAAGAAAATTTTCATTAACATCTTCTGAATCATAATTTTTCCATCATTTGCAATGGAGTCAAAGATTCATTATTTTTGGCTTGACATTATGATGGAATAAAGCAAAATGGCTCACTAAACTGTCTGCGCTTCTTTGTTATGAAGCAGCTGTTAGTCCATGCAATATTGGATGCGATTTTCACTATGGGTCATCTGGAAACAGTCTCTCTGTGCTTTAGTATAGGGGTCAGACTGCGTACATCCGACCCCCCTTACCCCACCCTAGGTGGGAGCCTTTGCGGCACTGGGGTAAATGAAAATGATGAAAATGATGACTTCTGAACCATAAACATCATTACCCTAGTGCCGCAAAGGCTCCCACCTACGGTGGGGTAAGGGGGTCGGATGTACGGAACCTCACCCTTGTACTTAAGCACATAGAGGCCGTTTCCGGATGACCCATAGTGAAAGTCGCGTCGAAAATTACATGGACTGATCGCTGCTTCATAATAAAGAAGCGCAGACAGTTTAGTGAGCCATTTTGTTTTATTCCATCATATTCCAATCCAAAAATTAGTGAGTCTTTGGCTCCCCATTTTTAAATCACCTTCATAATAATTAAAAATTTAAAATAATTAAATAAATATAAATTTGCATAAGATAGATCAATATTTAAGAGATCAATAAAAATGCACACAACCGCACTCATAAGAAATAGATAAATCGCACACACAATAACACAATAAACCTTAGTCTGTTGAAAATGAATGCATAAAATTGTAAAAAACCTAATACCTACTTTTATGTTTTTACTTGTTGAAGCTGTGTCTGTTCAGAGTTCGGATTTTTTTGACGTTTTAAACAACTTTCATACGAATTTATCTGTCTAAAACATACATATAAAGTATTAAAAGTTTGAGCATAAAAGGGAAAGTAGAATCATTATAAGAACATATTACAAGAAAAATTATCGGGCCTAAAAATTTCATTTTTTTTGCCTAGGGAAACCGTCCCCTCTTGCCCCCTCTGCCTAGGGTCACCCCTGATAGTGGGATAGAGAATTTCAACCCAGTCAGCGTTGGGTAGAAAACTTGCTGAAGGTCTTATGACCAGATCCCCACTCGGATCATTTGAACTGTCCTGGTAAACCATAAATGATTAATGTGCATGCTTTTTTGTGTTTCAGGTCAACATTGGCGGTTCTTGGCCTGCTTGAGCCGAACATGCAACAATTGCCACATGTTTCATCTTCTTTGCATGCATCAGAAGCAGTGAGCCCAAGCCCATCTGTTCATGGTACTGCTTTGATGCGATAGTTTTGACCTTGGAATATGCAGGGAGCTATTGCACCCTTCTTTAGTAATAGTTTGCTCCAGACTATAAAGTCAACAACCACATCGGTTAAGTGCTTATTGGCATCTCTGGGTATCTTGGTCTCAACAAGTTGTGAATCAGTAGTTGCCTGACTTGCCTCGTTGCCTGCCTGAAGTAATGGTGTTGCAATGTGTTCATGAACTCCTGGATGCAATTTCAGCTGCAGTGGCACGTCAGAGTGGTGATCAAGTCGGCTAACAAATATTTGAAGAGCCCCTACTGTTCTGTTCTCCTATTACTTGGGGAATGTATATATTCACAGTTGTTAGTGTTACTAGTATTTTTTTTTACATTTTAGTTGATAGTTTTCTTGTATGCTGCAGTTTTAATTTATTATTTTTGTATTTGTCGCCCTAAGGTTGTTGTATCGGTAAGTTAAGCATTTTCTTGATTATTTGGTTCAGTTAAATCTCCCCCTGGTTGAACTTCCTGACTTCATCATCTCCGTGAATGGATGTACCTCAAAAAAAGAAAATATGCTTCGAGGTAATTTAAGCAAATTAGTGATTGAAAAAGTTTAGTTTATATTGCCCCTTAGATTAGGGATGGATTCGGTTCGGGCCATCCGGCCCGTGACCCGGCCCGGCCCGTGACCCGGCCCGGCCCGGCACTGTGCGGGCCCGGGACCGGCCTGGTCGGGCGGTCCGGGACCGGGTCTGGGCCCGAACCGGGGGGAAGGGGCGGGGCGGGCTCGGTTCAGCATTTTTGTGACCCGGCCCGGCCGGGTCGGGCCCGGGCCCGGGTCCGGTTCGATCAATTTTTTTTAAAAAAAAGTTTTTTTGGGTTGGGCTCCTACTAGCCGTTGGGGGTGGGGCTGGGGACAACCCAAACGGCTATATAGCCGTTGGGTGGGTTATAGGGGGGGTCCGGGGGGGTTGGGTGGTGGGGGGGTGGGGGGTAAAAAAACCTATAAATACTCCTAATCTTAAACATTTTTTCACATCTCTTCTCCAATTCTTCCTATTCTTATCTCTCTACTCTCTAATTCTCTTATTCTCCAATATATTATATATCTACTCTCATATTCTCTTCTCCAAGAAGTTAAGATGGAAAATCAAAATGCCATTATACGGTATAATTTTGATAAGCAGAAGGACCCGAAGACCGGGATGTGATACGCAATTTGCAAATGGTGCGAAAAAAAATGTATAATGGGGGCTTCAGGCGGATTCGGGATGACAATCAAGCATATGAAGTCATGTGACAAAGCCAAAGGATCGGGAGGTGCAGGAAGTTCCGATTGATTACAATTTTCAAAATGTTTATCTCTTAAAGTTTGTTTTAATTTTCAAATGTAGTTCCTATTTCATTTCAAATAAATGCAATTGAAGTTTGTTTTTAATACTCGTATAAAACTATAAACTATAAAATATAAATTATAAAAAAAAAATTAACCGGCCCGAACCGGACCTGACCCGTGACCCGGGCGGGTGGCCCGGCCTGAACCGGACCCGTACAACCCGCGGGCCGGTCCCGGGCCCACTTTTCTTGAACCGGCGGCCCGACCGGGCCCGAACCGGCCTGAATCCATCACTACCTTATATTAATGCAGGATGCAACTGATTTTAGATGAATAGATGTGATTTGGCAATTGAAAGCAAGAAAAAAGTGTAGCACAACTCTATCCTTTTGAGGAAAAATAGTGGGTATTAATAAAATAACCGGAGGCTCAGAATCCTCAGATTGATAAAAAGCCACCAATGACCCAAAAAGCACTTTCCCAGTTAGAAATGGAGTAGAATATAGGTAATTCGACTCGCTTTGTTTGTCTGTCATTAAATAAATATCAAGTTACTGAAACCGTAAAAATTACAAAAAGCTTGTCACGAATGTTTTAGTACCAGAAAATGCGCAAATAACCCATATTTGATTTACTCGGGTTGACTTTAGTTCGATTTTGATTCAGAATTGGACTGTTTCGTTCTCATAATCTCATGTGTTATCACCAATATCTGAGATTAGAACCTTGATAACCACAACAAATGATGTGAAAATAGAACCGTTGTAAGTTGCAATTAAAAAAATGGAAGAAGTTTTATGCAAAAAGTATAAGACAATTTACATTCAATAACCAAATGTACGTAGGGGTGGGACCTGGGCCCGAGCAGGCTTTTTTTGGGAAAGGGTGAATCGGAACCGGCCCGGTTATTAACCAGGTCCGGGACAGGCCCGGTTCTATGTTTTTTTTGCTTTCTAATTAACCCCCAACCCCCCCCCCCCCCCCCCGAACCCCCCAAAACACCCAGCCCTAACGAAGAAAAACAAAAAAAATTGAAAAAACAAAAAAAAAAACGGACTGATTCAAGAAAAATGTGGTCCGAGCCTGGCCCGCCGAACTCGGTAAAAGCTCGAGCCCGGTTAGCACCAACTGTGCCAGGCCGAACCGGTTGGATCCATCCCTAAATGTACGCAAAAAGTGTCATATAATTTATATTGAATAGAACCAAATGTACGCAAAAAGTGTCATATAATACAAACCATTTACATTAGATTTAGAATCTTTGTGACTTGAACCCAAAAAAACAACCCGAACAATCTGAATCTCAAATGCATCCCCAAATTAGCGATTTGTTTTTGGGGTCCAGGCAACCCACAAACTTTCTAGCGTTACATATTAACGTAGGGGTAGAAGTGTGGAACCGTAGAACTTGAACCGGCTCATGTCAACCCTTATACCAACACACTTGGCATTGGGTGGGTAGGGCCCGGATATTAGCATGTCATACTATAACAAAACAAAAAGTTACAAAAGAATATTTGAATGAATATTTTCTCTGTAATAACCCATTTACTTTTGAGCTAACTAACAGTGAAGTTTACAAAACTTGTATTGTGACCAAAAGGTAAATATAAAGAAAAAGTCTTCAGGCTTCTAAGATTCACCGTCCAAACAAATATAGTCTGATTTCCACCTGTGTACATGTATAACATATATTGCTGTCCTTAATGGACACCCTACAGCAAAAATTCACACATTCAATGCAATGCTCCAATTCTTCAGAAGTCTTTATCCATCAAAACAATCCTTCGGCGACAAATCACAACATGGTACCAACTTCATTATGGATCTTCACCATAATAACTGTTATGCAGAAAGAAATGAAAAATAAGCATCCCTGGACAGCAAGGGGGGAAAATACAAGTATATGATCTTTAGCATGAGAGAACTGGTTTTGATCATCCCGAACTACGTACGAGTTATCATCATGCGTTCAGAAATAAGAAGAAAACCACATTGCAGAATAGTAGCATGTAAACATAAAGTTCTTTTTTGCTATTGATGGACTCTGATTTCACAAGTTAAATAAAACCTCTGACATATCAGTCACACCTTAGAGAGATTTAAGGGCCGATATGAGTACAGTGTTAACACCCAATGTAAGGCAACAGGGATTGGAGAGTACTTTGATCAAGGGCATAAATCAATAATATGTAGGCTGCTTCAGAATATAAACACTATAAATTCAGAGCCTTTTCTAGAAGGAAATATCAATCTATTGAGTTCCAAGTCTCATAAGAGAACAGAGCCCCCACTTTCCTATATTTCAAGGTAAGGAATATAGTACAGGACTGATACCCTCTCAGGTTAGTCTTACTGCCCTTTTCTTCCATCATCAACCTACCCAAACAAACTTAGGGAAATATACCAGAAATTATAACTAATATCAGAATTGATCAAATATCTTAGACGAGCAAATGACTCCTTGCTTGATCAAACTATTGAAAAAACAGGGTTCATGCTGAATAGAGATTTAAGCATAACTTTTGGTATTTTATTGCTTTCAAGTATCAGTGTGTGTCAGTGGGTGTGTCCCAGTGAAGATTGAAGTTAGAAAGAAATGGCAGACCTCAAGGAATAAAAAAAATCTTTCTCCCTGTCTGAATCTGATTTCATAATGTTAACGGTAGAACAGTGCCAAAGTTGTTATTCAGGACGATCCAGCCTTTTGGGTAAACAATTTCACCAGCATCCAAATGAAGGTGCCAATTTAACACCTTTGAACATCCAGTAGGTATCCCTTCCATTTGGCTCTCATCTTCTAAAATCTGCTCTATGAAGGTTGTTTCCTGCAAGTACCAACAAACATTAGCTAACAAACATCTAGAAAATGGCAACCTAAGAAGGAAGCAGTGTTTATCACTTTATCTACCTGAAAGCCTTCTTTCACTGTGTCCAGTTGCCGAATCGGAGCAGCAGTGGGTCTACGCCACAATTTTGGATCCCACAAAATGGTGCTATTAAAGGCAAAACCAGACATATCAACATGAAATCTGCGAAGCCGTTTACTCTTCTCATTTGTGTGCCATCCAATTACGCGATCTCCATTGCAGACTGGACCTTCCAATATTGCTTTATTCTTGCTTTGTTGCAGCATTGCTACAGGCCAAGTGCCAAAACGACTACAAGGAGAACATATGATTAGATAAAAATTAGTAAGGGCATGGAAACAAAAATATATCCCACAAACAAAGTTGCATGAATGCTTCTCACTGAAGAATCTATAGACTAGAGAGGAACTATATGAAGACATCCTTTGGCAGTGTATTTTTGCAATTATGATCATCATTAATATTAAAAACCAATAGTATTGGATATAAAGCACAATAGTTTATACACTAGAAAGAGGAAGTTTAGTCTGTTCAAGTTAATACTTCGATTCTTAGGTTTAAATTAGTGGCAATAGTCAACTATTTCAACTTGTCAACCCACATAAAGCCTGAATACATATCAGATGAACGACAAAGTGATATCATATAATAATATTGCAGGTTGGCACAAGGAAAACTACCTGATTTTTCTTATACTCTCAAACAGTTCGAGTGAGTAGATATTATCGTCATCTGCAAAGTAAACAATCCCGTCTAGCCTATGTCGTTCAATATGCTCCAAAGCGTAGTTCCTCTGATGCACACCACGGTCTTTCATGTCCGTCATATTCTTGGAACACACCAGATGCCTATACATAACTCCCATCTTTCTCAATATATCTGCAGTTTCCAATGAAGCTGCACTCATCTCAACCACAACCCACATCAATGGTGGCTGCACCAGCTTCAGAACCTGTCCCAATCTATTCAAATAATAAGCTTGTAAGGCCCTATTATAAGTTGGGGTGACAATGATAAGCTGTTTCTGCGGAACTAAATCTATCTGTTCAATCTTCTCCTCTACTTGTAATTGCACCCTATCCACAAGAGCACTAGGTCTAGGAATGACAACATCCTTCAACTCCAATTTATCATTCATCATTGGAGGTTTCATTTTCCAGGAAAAATTGTTACTGCTCATTTCCTCGAGATCACCAAACATCATCAAACCAAGTACAAACCCTAGAACGAATAGAACCAAGCACCTAGAGAACGATTTTCTCCACGAAACCATTTTCCTGGGATATCTAACTCCTCCGAGTGAACTGAAAACACCAAATCCAAA